TTTTTTCAATAAAAATAATAATAAATAATAATAAAAAGAATCAAATAATAATAATTTAAAAAAAAACTAAGAAACAAGCTGGTGTAGCTATCCCAATATGTAACAAAATAGACTTGAAACAAAACCAATCAAAAGGGGAAACGAAGACATTTTGTATTTGTCACAGGAAAAATCCATCAAGAGGAAATCTCAATACGAACGATCTGTGCCTCAAATACCCAGGCACTGTCATATGGAAACAAACAAAACCAACACTACTAAAGCTTAAACCACACATTAAACCCCAAACACTAATAGTGAGAGACTTTAACAACCCAATATCACCACTGACTGGGTCTGCCAGACAGAAACTTAACAGAGAAATACGGGAACTAACAGATGTTATGTCTCAAATGGGATTTTGAGACCTCTATAGAACATTCCATCCAAACATAAAAAAAATATACCTTCTTCTCAGCACCTCATGGAAACGTCTCAAAAATTGATCACTTACAACGTAACAAAGCAAACTTCAAAAGATACAAAAAGTTGTAATAACACCATGTATCTTACTGGATCACCATGTCTTATAATCAGAATTCAACAGAAACACTAATTTTTAAAAGCCCACAAACACATGGAAAATAAATAGTGCTCACCTGAGTCACAAATAAGTCAGAGAAGAAATAAAGAAAAAAAATTAAAGACTTCCTAAAATTCAACAAAAATGACCACACAACATAACAAAATTTTTGGGACACAATGAAAGCAGTGTTAAGAGGAAAGCTCATAGCACTAAATGCCTACATAAACAAACTGGAAAAATCTCACACTAGTGAGTTAACAGAACACCTGAAAACTCTAGAACAAAAATAAGCAAAGTCACTCAAGAGCAGGAAATAATCAAATTGGGAGCTAAAATCAACAAAATAGAAACAAAGAAAACAATACAAAGAACCAATGAGACAAAGAATTGGTTCTTAAAGAAAATCAACAAAATAGACAGACCTTTATCCAAACTAACCAAAAGGCACAGAGAGAATATCCAAATTAACAAAATCAGAAACGAAAAGTGTAACATAACAACAAACATGGGGAAAATCCAGAGAATCATCAGCACATATTTTGAAAACCTATACTCCACAAAACTGAAAAATTTAAAAGAAATGGACAATTTCTTTATAAATACCACTTTCCAAAATTAAATCAAAACCAGATAAGCAAATTCAATAGGCCTATAACTGCTAAAGAAATAGAGTCATCAAACCCTTCCAAACAAAAAAAGCCCAGGACCAAATGGCTTTAGCATAGAATTCTACAAGATTTTCAAAGAAGAACTAATACCAATACTCCTCAAATTGTTCCACAAAATAGAAACAGAAGGAACATTGCCAAACTCTTTTTATGAGGCTACAATTACCCTGATACCCAAACAATACAATGGCATTACTAAGAAAGAGAATTACAAACCAATCCCACTCATGAACGTTGATGCAAAAATATTCAATAAATATTGGTTAACCTATTCCAAGAACACATCACAAAAATCATCCATCATGGAATATACTTAAATAAAATAAAGGCAATATACAGCATGCAAATTGCCAACATCAAACTAAATGGAGAGAAACTCAAATTGATCCCACTGAAATCAGGAGTAAGACAAGGTTGTCCACTCTCTACATATCTATTCCATATGGTTCTTGAGTTGTTAGCTAGACCAGTAAGACAACAAAAGGAGATCAAGGGAATAAAAAATCGTAAAAGAAGCAGTCAAATTCTCACTATTTGCTGATGAAATGATAGTTTACATAAGCAACACCAAATATTCTACCAAGGAACTTCTTCAACTCATGAACACTTTCTGGAATGTGGTGGGATACAAGATTAAACAAAAGAAATCAGTAGCCCTCTTTTACACAGATGATAAATTGGCTGAGAAAGAAATCAGAGAAACATCACCCTTCACAATAGCCACAAATAGCATAAAATATATTAGAGTAACTCTAACCAAACAAGTGATAACCTGTACGACAAGAACTTTAAATCTTTGAAGAAAGAAACTGAAGAAGACACCAGCAAATGGAAAGATCCTCTATGCTTTTACGTTATCAGGGCCTGTCCGTTCATTCCTGGTAGTTCAGAATCGAAATAACCACACAGAAACTATATTATTTACAGTACTGTTTGGCCAATAGCTTAAGCGTCTGTTTAGCAAGCTCTTATCCATTTCTGTTAATCTGTGTAGGACCAACTGTAGTTGCCTTATTGTACATAATATCATAGTCTCCTAGATTGTCAACGTACTTTTTCCTCTTGTTCCTTCAGGATTAGAGATAACAGCAGCTTCCACTCACTTTCTGTTTCTTTTAATACTGCCCTAGACTCCACACACAATTCATTTTCTAAGATCGATTTAGTTAAACCCTCTCAGTGAATTATCTACTTGTTGCTGAGACTCTAACAGATAACCTTACTTTTCACTTCTTAAGATCACAGAAAATGTCTTAGTTACCTTATAGATTTAGTCTAATGTTTAGTATAAATTGGGATTTACCAGCTATTTACTGATGGAGAATTAACTAAGTCAATTGGAAGAACACTTTTTCTGTAAGGGTTCAAATAAATACTCTATACTTTGTGGGACATGATTTCTGACCAAACTTTTCAATTCTGTCCTTTTAGCATGAAAGCAGCAAAAAGGAAAAGCCAAATACATCTATATTCTAATAAAACTTTGTTTATAAGATAAGTTCAAATCAGATTTGCCCCACAAGGCTTAGTTACTAACTTCTGAATTAAAAAAAGAAACAATATACTCATAAAAGTATATACTTCATTTAAGCCAAAATAAACATAATGACTCCTGACATGAGTAAACATAGGGGGAAGACTGCATATAATTTTGAGAACATAAATTAACAATTATATTTTCAGTTATAGCATAATCATTTATATGCCATAATTGCTATATGAAGCTAATTAATAAAAACAACAATGTATCATGCTGTGAAAGTGTTCTAGTAATATAACATACTTAAATTAATAAAATCATAACAAATATGAAACATAACTGAACTGCCATTGTCATATGTTTTTAATGATTTTATCTTAGACATTTTAAAACTACTTTACTTTATATTATTGCAGTATAAAACATATACCTGGATTCCCCTTAAAATCCATTGCAAAAAGTGGGAAGTCTTTTAGATTAAACTCCACTTTGGCCCTTGTCACACCTTTGTTTTTTATTAAAAATGGAATAACTCCTGTAGTGCCAACATAGGTGCCACTGAAATTAAATACATTCTAAAATCAAAAAAAAAAAATAAAAATTAGAAAGTGGAACGATGTTTTACAAATATGTATAGTCAAATTTGCATTTTGATATTTGTCATGGTGATTAACTGCCAAATGTATCTCTATGAAACTTTTATCTTTCTCTTCCCTACATCCTACATGTAAAATACCAAACCCCGATAAACTTGTTCTTCAACCTTTTTACTAGACTGTATCTGTTTGATAATTGTATATAGTCAAATGCAATAATTTCTAGATTTTTATTTTCAAAAATTCTTCCCTTCAATAACTGAGTCACAAACTCCCTCATTTATATTTCCTACCATCAACAGGACAAGATTCAAGTTCATAGGCAGTACTCAAAGTTTTCCAAGTTCTTCAGTGTCCCATATTCTAGCCTCATCTAAGCTCTTTGCTCTTTCTTTTTTTTTTTTTTTTTTTTTCGGTTTTTCAAGACAGGGTTTTGCTGTGGTTTTGGAGCCTGTCCTGGAACTAGCTCTGTAGACCAGGCTGGTCTCGAACTCACAGAGATCCGCCTGCCTCTGCCTCCCAAGTGCTGGGATTAAAGGCGTGTGCCACCATTGCCCGGCTTTCTTTGCTCATTCTAAAACTTATTATTTCAGTAAGCTTTGATTTTGCATTTCAAACTAACACTAGATATTTCAACCTTAATCATGGTGTTTCTACTGCCAGAAAGACCCTTCTCCAAAATGTAGTTATCTAAAAAGCTCAAATAAACCACAATTAATTACACTGTGGTAAGGGTGACTTATTCCTTATGCTTATCTTCCTGGTGACATCACAATATCTGTTCACATATCTGATTCTTATATTTAAGAACAGGATTCATTTTCAAAGACAAGCACATGTCTTTTTGTCCTTGTGTGTATCCATGTCTATATGTACACTAGATGCTTACTGAATGAACATGAACTCATGTTCATATACCAAGTACATACCATTATGGAGTTACTATAAGATCAATTCCTTAGCAAATGAAGCACACAGAACATTAAAAGGACAGAGTGACAACAATTTTGTAATATTGTGTAAAATACTTAATTACTATCAAAGACAAATGTTTCATTTAAAATATCAACTTGTTGCTGTTGTTACCACTATTACTTTAAAATGATTTTTATAAAACGTCAAGGCTGGTATCTAATTTTTAATCCTTCAACATTAGCCTAGTGAATGTTACAATCACAAAAATTGGAGAGTAAATTATTTTTATATTTTAAAATAAGGACTTACTTATAAATACAGATAAAGTAATATAACTTATTCTATTAATAGTAATGTGTAGTGTGCCCCAAAATGGATTTAGCATGAGAAAATAGAGTAATAAAATCCTCAATGTTCAATATTTCCCATAGAGTATACTATATAAAAAGAAAAGATAGTATTGAATCTTTCATTTTCCCTTTTAATGAAATATAATATTTTTCACACACAACACATCCTGATTATGGCTTCCCTTCCTTCTGCTCCTATGAATTCCTCTGCACGTTCCCTCCCATCTGGATCTACCCCACTATTATTAGATAACAAAATGATTTCTATAGGAAATAATAAAATACAATTAAATTATAGTAAGGCAAAAATATTAGACTTGGACAAAGCAAACAAATATAAAAGCCTAGGACCACGGGGGGTGCACCCACCCACTGAGACAGTGGGGCTGATCTATTGGGAGCTCACCAAAGCCAGCTGGACTGTGACTGGAACAGCATGGGATAAAACCAGACTCTCTGATCATGGCGAACAATGAGGACTGATGAGAAGCCAAGGTCAATGGCAAGGGGTTTTGATCCTACTTCATGTTCTGGCTTGGTGGGAGCCTAGCCAGTTTGGATGTTAACCTTCCTAGACATGGAGGGAGGGGGGAGGACCTTGGACTTTCCACAGGACAGGGAACCATGACTGCTCTTTGGATAGGAGAGGGAGGGGGAGAGG